TAAATAAACATAAAAAATTATATTGTAAAAATTTTTTGTTCAAGTTATTTATTCTAAAATCAATATTATATTTTTTTATTTGATTAAGTGATAGCATTAAAAAAATAATTTATTTTAATGTTATAGTAAAATTACTTAAAATTTCATAAGCAATTGTTATAATAAATTTAATATTTTTTAGCTAATTAATTAGTCATTATCCCTCAAATTTATAAAAATTACATTACTTCTAACATTTATGCAATCAATGTAAGTGATTTATATGCTATTTCTTTTAACCAATGATTAATGTAAAACATAATACCATTTTCTAACTTTAACTTATAACTCATAATATTTTATGTTTAAAACATATATTATATGCATATAAATAACTTATTATACTTTATTTACATATGTGCAAATGCACAGGTCAAATACTAGTAAATTTAAAATTCATACAAGCTCAATCAACAATATTTAGAAATTTGCTCAAGCGTGTCCAATATTTTGTTATAATTATTATTAATTTTGTTAATGTGTTAGGCAAATATTGGTAAGTTAGGTTTACTTTATTTATTTTAAATTAATGTGAATGACTATTATATCCTTGATGTAATTGTATTATTACGATTGTGCCATCAGAAGTTTTCCTATAAATAGGAGCTTCAGTTATAATGAAAATTGTACTTAAGAAAGAAAGTTTCTATATTCTCTCTTCTATATAGTTTTATTCCTTCAGTTTTATAACACGTTATCAGCACGAGTCTCTACCTTATAGAGCTTAATTTGTAATACGAAGAAGAGTATGCTATACAGTTGCGCCTTATAGAAGATCTTCTGTATTAGAAATCATAATATTACAAGTCGTCATTGGAAATATTCTTCAAGTTTGCAAGTCATGGAGAAAGAAAGTATTCTATGCCTGGTTGATAGTGCTACTACGCACACTATTTTGAAAGATCGGGAATTTTTTCAAACTTTAAATGAAAAGAAAGGAAGTGTTACTACAATTGCTCAAGATAAAATCTTGATAGTAGGCTCCGACAGAGCTTTACTTACTCTTCCTAAGGGTACCGAATTAATAATTAACGAAGCGCTTTTGTACCCTGAATCACAAAGAACACTCCTTAGTTTTAAAGATATCCGATCAAATGGTTTTCATCTTGAAACTAAGACTGAAAATAATATGGAATACCTTCTTATGACTCATTCACAAGGAAGTCAAAAGAAAATTGTAGAAGAACTTCCTTCTTTCTCATCAGGCTTATATCATACTTACATTCGACCTTCTATTAATCATGTTGCATTGAGTTTAAAATTTAAAGACCCGAATTCATTTAAATTATGGCATGAGAGATTGGGTCATCCTAGGCTTAGTATGATGCGTCGGATTATTTCTAACTCTATTGGGCATAACATATCAAACAGCAACCTCCCTTCTTTTAATGAATTTATTTGTGATGCTTGTGCAAAGGGAAAATTGATATTAAGACCTTCACGTACTAAAGTTGGAATTGAATCTCCTAGGTTTCTTCATAGAATTCATGGTGATATATGTGGACCAATTCATCCAACATCAGGACCTTTTCGATATTTTATGGTCCTGATAGATGCTTCCACTCGATGGACATATGTGTGTTTATTATCCACTAGAAATCAGGCTTTTCCAAAACTACTTGCTAAAATTATTGAACTAAGAGCTCAATTTCCTGATTATCAAATTAAAACTATTAGAATGGATAATGCCGGCGAATTTACGTCGAAAGTTTTTGATGATTATTGTATGTCATTAGGCATCAAAGTGGAGCATCCGGTACCTTATGTCCACACACAAAATGGTTTAGCCGAATCATTAATTAAGCGCATCAAATTAATTGCTAGACCATTACTACAAAATTCCAACTTACCAATTTCATGTTGGGGACATGCAATTTTACATGCTGCTGCCCTAATTCAAATCCGACCTACTGCATATCATGATTACTCCCCTATACAAATAGTGCGTGGTAAAGAACCTAATATTTCCCATCTGCGAGTATTTGGTTGTGCAGTATATGTTCCTATATCACCACCACAGCGTACATCTATGGGCCCTCATCGAAAGTTAGGTATATATATTGGATATTAATCTCCGTCTATTATTAAATACCTAGAGCCTATGACTGGAGATCAATTTACAGCTCGATACGCTGACTGCATATTTGATGAAACAAATTTTCCGGCATTAGGGGGAGATAAAAGCCCAAACATAAATAAATGCCGAGAAATTTCTTGGAATGTACAAAATTTACAATATTTAGATCCACGCACTAATCAGACTGAACTTGAAGTTCAAAAGATAATTAATTTACAATATTGAGCAAATAATTTGCCAGATGCATTCACTGATCATAAAGGAGTGACTAAATCACATGTACCTTCTATAAATGCACCACAACGAGTGGAAGTCCTCAGGAAATATAATATTCCTACAGAGGCTCTACGCCAGAAGCGTGGGAGACCCATTGGTACAAAAGATAATAATCCGCGGAAAATAAAATCTAATAAAAATGTTGAATCACTCCCGAAATCTCCAGAAGAGAATCGTCCAGAAGGCGAAAATCCTAGTTTAAATGCACGTGCAACAAATAATAAAAGTACTAGGATTGCGGAACATCCAGATCAAAATATATTAGGAAATGATGATGATCTGGTAGATGTGAATATTGAAGTAGCTATGAACTTTATTGATACAGGAGAAACTTATAACAGAAGTAACAAAGTCGTCGACGATACATTTGCCTCTATAATTGCTCTTACCATCTCTAATAATCTGGATCCAGAACCTAAAACAATTGAAGAATGCCGGAAGCGCTCAGATTGGGTAAGATGGAAAGAAGCAATTGAAGTTGAACTAGACTCGCTAAATAAACGAAAAGTTTTTGACTCTATTGTACGCACACCTCAAAATGTTATCCCAGTAGGATATAAATGGGTGTTCGTACGAAAGAGAAATGAAAATAATGAGGTGGTGAGATACAAAGCGAGATTAGTTGCTCAAGGGTTTTCGCAGAGACCCTGTATTGATTTTGATCAAACATATTCTCCTGTAATGGATGGAATAACATTCCGCTATTTGATATCTCTGGCAGTAAATATGAATTTAGATATGCAGTTAATGGATGTCGTGACCGCATATTTATATGGGTCATTAGACACAAATATATATATGAAAATCCCTGAAGGATTAAAAGTTCCCGAAATAAAGGGAAATGAAACACGCAACATGTACAGTGTTAAATTACAAAAGTCATTATATGGCTTAAAACAGTCGGGTAGAATGTGGTACAACCGGCTGAGTGAGTTTTTGTTAAAGAATAATTATGTAAATAATGATGTGTGTCCTTGTGTATTTATAAAGAAGTCAAAGAATGGTTTTTGTATCATTTCAGTTTATGTCGATGACATAAATATAATTGGCACAAAAGAAGAGCTTGATAAAGCTAGCTCATGCCTAAAGACGGAGTTTGAAATGAAAGATTTGGGTAAAACCAAATATTGCCTCGGCCTGCAGATCGAGCATCTCCCTGAAGGAATTTTTGTACATCAGTCAACATATTTGGAAAAGGTTTTAGAAAAATTCTACATGGATAAATCTCATCCACTTAGCACACCTATGGTTGTCCGATCCCTTGAAGCGAATAAGGATCCATTTAGACCTAAAGAAGATACCGAAAAAAAATTAGGACCAGAAGTTCCTTACTTAAGCGCTATTGGCGCGTTACTTTATCTTGCAAATTGCACCAGGCCTGATATTGCATTTGCAGTAAACTTACTAGCAAGATTTAGTACTTCTCCTACGAGGAGACACTGGAATGGAATTAAACATATTTTTAGGTATCTTCAAGGTTCAAAAGATCTTGGTTTACTTTATAAAAATAACCAAGATATGACATTGGTGGGATATTCAGATGCTGGTTATATGTCTGATCCCCATAATGCAAGATCTCAGACTGGATATGTTTTTCTATGTGGTGGTACAGCAATATCGTGGAAGTCGGTCAAACAGTCCATGGTTACTACATCTTCAAATCACTCAGAGATAATTGCTTTATACGAAACTTCAAAAGAATGTGTATGGTTAAGATCTTTAATCCAACATATTCGTGAGTCATGCGGAATTACAAATGATATAACCCCCACTGTCCTTTACGAGGACAATGCAGCTTGTGTTTTATAAATGAGTAATGGGTATGTAAAAGGAAACATGACAAAACACATTGCTCCAAAATTCTTTTATCCACACGAGCTCCAGAAGAATGGTGAGATTATTGTACAAAAAGTACGATCTAGCGAGAATTTGGCAGATCTATTCACCAAACCCCTTCCTACATCTACTTTTGAAAAATACATTTATTGTATTGGTATGCGTAAACTAGGAAGATTATTGTCTTCAAGGAAAGGGGCAAACTCAAAATAATCCAGAAGATTAGGTCCTGAAGACCAAATGTTGTACTCTTTTTCCCTTAACTGAGGTTTTCTCCCATTGGGTTTTCCCAGTAAGGTTTTTAATGAGGCAACATAAATGGAATATTCACATGAATATTGTACTCTTTTTCCTTCATTAGGATTTTGTCCCACTGGGTTTTTCCTAATAAGGTTTTAATGAGGCAACACATGGATAATCTATTACAGATGATATATTTGAGGGGGAGCAAGGTTATGCTTCTACAAATGCTCAGATTTTGTCCCACAGGGTTTTTCTGACATGATGAAAAAGAGGTACCTGATGGCCACAAAATGTTAAGATTGGAATTTGTTCAAATCAATTAATAGTCATTCAAGGGGGAGTGTTATAATTATTATTAATTTTGTTAATGTGTTAGGCAAATATTGGTAAGTTAGGTTTACTTTATTTATTTTAAATTAATGTGAATGACTATTATATCCTTGATGTAATTGTATTATTACGATTGTGTCATCAGAAGTTTTCCTATAAATAGGAGCTTCAGTTATAATGAAAATTGTACCTAAGAAAGAAAGTTTCTATATTCTCTCTTCTATATAGTTTTATTCCTTCAGTTTTATAACAGTTTTTGCTTATTATACAATTAATTTTCAGATTTCACATTAATTGGCACCTCAATTTGTCTGTAATTGAAAGAGAAAAAAAAATCATAACAAACAAAAGCAGGTCGAGTCCGACAAAGAGTCGGTGGACGCCAGCAAAAGTGAAACTCACGAGAAAGAGAGAAATTACGCTCGCTTCACTCTGTAAGATTCCGGCGAATCTCCGGTGACACAGTCACCGGTAATCCAGATTTCAGAGTACTTTTAAGCCGCCTTCTTGGTTACGCTTGACTTGAACTCTGTGTCGCTGATTGCATCTGAAAAAACATTTTCTTTTTTTATATGTTCGTGTGGAATAAAAGAGGAGAAACTCACTGACTATTCACCTGTTCGCATTGTCGGAGGTTTGGGCCACCGTTTCCCGGAGTATCAACGGTGGTTTTTCGTGGTTCTGACTTTCTGTCCCGTCCTCCGATCTCAGTCTCCGAAGGTAAAAAAGATGAAGAAATAAGACCGAATCTGATTTATGGTTTTCTTATTGGCCTGCTCCGGTTGCAGCTTTTCTCTCTCATAAAGTCAAAGCATTTTGTCTACACTTTAGAAAATAAAATTGTTTTACTTTACTGCTGTTAGCTTGTTTTGCTAGGTAAACTGTAGCTCAAGCTCCATATTTGCTTTAGCACAGACCCTTTTACTGCTCATTTACTTTTAGATATTCTTCTATTAGCCTTCTTTTTTAACATATGGGTGTTGAGACGTTATATGATTTAGCGCTCAAGTGTGGGTTGTGAAGGAGAGATCTATTGGGAAACTGCCCTGAAATTTTCTCAATTGTAAGAAAATATGACATTATTCTTTCTTTCTTTTCTGTTCTTATTTAATGTAGAATTAGTTCAGCGTCGTGAAGTTTAATGAGGGATTGTATAGAGTTGTCAATTTTTCGATATGAGGTTTCTTGGGAACTTGCTGTAAAATCCCATTCAAGGCACGGAAAAAGTGCTGTCTTTGTTATTCTTGTTCTACGTGTGTTACTTATGCTTTTAGTTTCCTCGTTAATCTATGTCTTTAAGCAACAGTAATTTTTTCTTTCATTCTCCCTCAAGTTCAACTATTGCTTTCGATGCTGCGAGCATTTTAATTTGACTTTGCACCCTCATCTCTTTTTTTACATCTATAATCAATTGTTTTCCAGATTCTATTTTCGCATTATGTTTTAGCTTTTTATTTTGGTGGCAATGATTGAAAATTAGTCAAAGTTGCGCAGCTTCAGCTACTTTCATTTCAAACAGTTGTGTACTTCTTTCAAGAACCTTTTCCTCTCTGAATATAAACTCATTTTTCTTGGTTTGTGTTGCTGCTAGTTTTGTCCTTTATTTTTCGTTTTCTTCTTCACATCAAATACAGTGTTGCAGAGAGTTTCGTGTAATTAACACAGAATAATTATGTGTCTTTCAGGTACTGAAATGAATGGCACTTCCCAGAATGTGAAAAATAGAAACTTTGGGAAAACATATCCAGGATGTCTGGGAAGAATGGTGGACCTCTTTGAGTTGAATATTGGAGTGTCGCCAAACAGGCTCCTAACTGATAAACCACACCGGGATGGTGCTCACTCTTTCTTATACCATTTTTCTTTTTAAATGTTGTTTTTAAAATTCTTATTGAAGTTTTGAGTTTTAGTATTAATAACATTCTTACAGAGAAAGGCTTATGTTGCTAAAATAATCGGCAATTATGGATTAATGTATATGGCATGCGAAACTGTTCTTGGGTCTCAATGGTTCATTGTTTTACCTAATTTGTTCTTTCGTCTTTATCTTCTTCAGTAATATTATTTCTGCAATTATTTACCCGTTAGTTTATATCTCAAGCATGCTAAGTTACAATATAGCAACGGATTCTTACAGGTTCCCCTATCTCGAGAAGCAGAATGTCTCCTGATCCAGTCGTAGATGAAGGGGTAAATAAAATATCAAAACTATTAATATTTCACCAAGTATATTCTACAGATTTTGTTTAAAAAGTGAACAATTTCCTTTCCATTCTTGATTTGCAGATTGAACATGGGTTAAGGAGCTACTCTCCAAACCGAAAATCAAATGGGACGCCAATAAAGATGCTCATCGACCATGAGATGTCCAAAGAAGTTGACTCCAGACGAAGCCCGCCCAATCTAGTTGCGAAATTAATGGGACTTGATGCCCTTCCTCAGCCCGAACCCGAAACAGCAACAAACAGAAGCCCATCCAAGGGGCACCCTCGAAGATTCTCTCACTATGGAGAGCCAAATGAGTACAAAGACATTTACGAGATATGGGAGCAACCACAGAGACTTACCACGGCAAATGACAAAAAGATGGCTCTCGTCCGACAGAAGTTTCTAGAAGCCAAACGCCTGTCCATGGACGGAAGATTACGTCAGTCCAAGCAATTCCAAGATGCATTGGAAGTTTTGAGTTCCAACAAAGACTTATTTCTCAAGTGCTTGCAGGAGCCCGGTCAAGTGTTTTCTCAGCAGCTTTACGGCCTGCATTCCATTCCTCCTCCCCCAGAGACAAAGCGTATAACAGTTCTCAGACCCTCAAAAATTGCCGATAATTTTAACTTAGCCGGAGATAGAGAAGGAAGAAGAGAATCGGAAAAAGGCGACTTCCCTCATCCAAGAAATCACGAAAGTCCTACTCAGCCGACCCGAATAGTTGTTCTCAAACCGAGCCTGGAGAAAATACTCGATAACAGTAAGGCTAACATCTCCCCAAGGTCCCAGTCGGCAAGAATACACGGCGAAGGATTTTTAGGAGATGTAGAAGACAACGAGAATTGGGAGTCGAGACGAGTCGCGAAAGCAATCACGAGCCAGATGCGCGAGAAACTCGGCAGCCACCACAGGGACGAAACCGTCATTTGCATGGCTGAGGAGAGCTCTTTCGGTAAATCGGAGATTGAGTATCCGGCTGGTGACCTCAGCGATTCCGAAGCCACTTCGCCCATGTCTCGGCACTCGTGGGATTGCGTGCATAACATGCCAGGCAGCCCATTCTCGTCCTCTTTCAGCAGGGCATCTTATTCGCCTGAGTCCTCTGTCTGTAGAGAGGCTAAAAAACGACTCTCTGAAAGGTGGGCTCTGATGGCATCTAATGGGAGCTGTCAAGAACAGAGGCAAATACGCCGGAGCTCGAGTACGCTGGGCGAGATGCTTGCGCTTTCAGAAGCAAAACACAAGAAGAATGATATAGCACCTGTGAAAGAAAGTGCATTTGATGAAAAATCAAAGGATTCAAGTAATCTGTTAGAGTGTGGGAAGAGGATAGTTGAAGATGTTGATGACAACTCACCAAGGAATCTCACGAGGTCGAAATCTGTTCCCGTTTCTTCTTCTCAGTTCGGGACTAGGCTTTATGAGGAAACTCCGGTTGTTTTGAACAATGGGAAACTGGAAGTTGTTCCTAAGGAGGACGCAAAGGCTAGAAGTAGAAAGTCGTCATTTAAGGGAAAAGTTTCGAGTTTGTTTTTCTCGAGGAATAAAAAGGACAGTAAGGATAAGCCTATTGAACCTGGAACTAAAGATGATTCCAGCTCCTTATTTCTTGGGGGTGTCAGCAGTGGTGGGAGTGAAAGTCTTGTTGAGAAAGTGCCCAAACATTCGCCATCAGGTCTGTTCGAGTTATCGAGCAAAGCATCTTCCTCGGGCGTGATTTCACCTGAGGTAACTTCGGTACATTGATAGATAGTTCATTTAGCTTTTGATTGATAAATAGTTATATTAAATTTTAATTCACTTTATCCATATTTGGTTGTTTGAGGTAGGGAAGACATTTATACGTAGTTCCTTTCTAATTTTTTTTCTGATGTCAGTACCAATCATTAAGCTCTTTGTGCCTAAAATGTGCCCTTTGACTTCCTATGTTTTTTGACATGTAGATGCTTTGAAGATTATAATTGAACGATATATGAAATTAGAGATTTCTCTTTGTGCCTGATCCATAATGGGTGGCCACCAAAAAATGTTTTTGGTAATTGAGATGTTACGAGGTGAAAATTGTTAGCCAGGGAGATTTTCTTTAATTTTCCCAAAGAAATGCCAAATACTGTTAATAATTGCCACCTGCTGTTGCCATGCAATTTTGCCTATTCCTCATTGTAAGATGCTATTGGTCAATGATCCCATTTGTGCCATTTTTTAATCACTAAGCTAATTATTTTATTCTAAACTAGAAAGCTGGAGACTTTATGAATCTGTTTGACCTTTTTGCAGGCTCAATTTTCTGTGTCAAAATCAGCTGCATCTGGAAACCTCTCTGAAAATCAGGACCAGCCTAGCCCAATATCAGTCTTAGATGCACCCTTTGAATTAAATGAACGCACGTCAACAGTGTCCCCACATTATGTCGAGCCTGACCAACATGGTACACTCTTTTGTTGCACTTTTATTTTTTTTTTTATTTGTTTCATTGAAAGGTAACTGTAAAATAGCTACAAAATCGCAGAGACACTGCAATTTACTAAAAGATACATATGACAAGGGGGCTTTTAAATAATTGGTTTGTCAAATTGTTTTGCGACCTCCATTTCAGGATACGAGTTGTCACCGAGTCCACTCAGTTCAAACTTGATTGACAAGTCGCCACTTATAGGCTCCATAGCTCGAACCCTATCATGGGATGACTCAAGCTTAGACACAAAAGACGAGGGGCAAGAATGGTATTCACTTGTGAGGACACTGTTATCCATGGCGGGCCTCGAACAGAATGACTCGTTCTTCGCCAGGTGGCACTCGCCCGAGAGCCCGCTGGACCCTTCCTTGAGAGACACGTACATTGAGTCGAAAAACGACAAGAAAATGATGCACGAGGCTAGGCGGAGGCAGAAGAGGTCCATGCAGAAGCTCGTTTTCGACTGCGTGAACGCTATCCTGGTCGAGCTTGCGGGCTCCCGAGTGGGCCCGGATGAGGTATGGGCCCGAATGGACGAGTGGTTTTCAGGCGAGTGCATTTCAGTGGAGAGTGGGGAGGAAAACGGAGTTTTGGTGGAGAGGGTGGTGAGGAACGAGGTAGCGGGGAAAGGGTGGATCGAGAATTTGAAGTTGGAGAGGGGTATTTTGGGAATAGAGATTGAGGGAGGTTTGCTGGAGGAGCTGTTGGAGGAGGCTGTGGTTGAACTTGACAGGTAGAGAGTGATGTGATGTGATGTGATGTGATGGGTGCTTATATATATATATATATATTGTTTTGGCCTATGTATTCATGTTTTACTTGGTCTGTTGTTTAGCTTGTTGTTTTGATCAATAAATAAATATACTTGTGGTTGTCGTTGTAATCGGGTGTTCATGTCTCAAATGTGTTGTGTTCAACTTCTGTATAATGGGCTTTTATTTTATGTGTACTTTAGCTGGTTTAGTGGAATAGAGCTTAAAATGTTAAATTTGATTCGTGTATAATATAAACTAGTACAATAACCGTGTATTACACGGGTGTTGAATTAGAAAGTTTTTGTAAAAAATATTAATTTTTTTATTTTTTTAAAAAACTAAAATAATATAATTTTATACAAAAACATTACTTTGGGTTTTAATTAAATTGTCAAATTATATTTTTTTAATCATAATAATTAAACACCTGTACATTAAATGAAAATATCAACCCGTGTTGTATTTTTTTTACTTATATCATATAAAAATATCGATATTATTTACTACTAGTACAATACCCGTGTATTACACGAGTGTTGAATTAAAAAGATTTTATAAAAAATATTAAATTTTATATTTTTTTAAAACTAAAATAATTTAATTTTATATAAAACATTAACTTGGGTTTTAATTAAATTGTCAAATTATATTTTTTTAGTCATAATAATTAAACACCCGTACATTAAATGAAAATGTCAACCCGTGTTGAATTTGTTTACTTATATCATATAAAATTATCGATATTATTTACTATTACATAAGTACAAAAATATATATCTTAAATAAATAGAAATAATATGGTAATATGTATATGCATAAGTGTAAAACATGTTTATTTAATATTAAGCAAAATAGATTAATTTTTTTACTTAATTAGATGCCTAATACATCAAGTGTCATATCAGTCATGCTTCATAATTTTTTAACTTTATATGTAATTTTAGAATTTAGATAAATAATTATTTATTTTTATTAGATTGACAACATACCAACTAGATTTGAAATAAATATCAATTTTAAAAGAATACATACCAATTTCTATTACTTTATAATATAATTTATAGTTTTATTTGATATAATTTAATTTAGTTTGATAAATAAATTTAAATTGTATTTATAAGGATATATATTACAGTTTTGTATAATATGGATGTCAAATCGAAAATCCTTAAAAGATAGTTAATTTGATATATCATATATGAAAAATAAAATACAAATAAAAAAGTTATAAAATTTTAAAATAAGAAGAAGAAACATTTATAAAAACTAATGAATGAATTATATAAGAAAATGAAATGTGATGTATGATCTTTTCAATTGTAAACTTGTAGCTATTATTAAAAAATCCTAAACTAACGGATTCTAATTCTACTTCTATATTAAATATATTTTTCTTATAATCTTACTGGTATGAACTAAATCGTTATATTGAACATATGGCGAAATTGTAATCACTTTTAACTTTTTTCATTATAAAAATTATTTAGAAAAAAGAAATCCAATGCTTAAAGGGTTCTTTAAGCAGAAATTTATCCCTTGCGTCATGTTATACTAATCACAAATGATAATTAGGCTTGGCAATGTAATTTTTTTATAAGAATTCTTTAAACAAAAAATAATAATAATAAAAAATAAAAATACAAAACAGAATTGTAAGCATTAAGAGGACTCTTCGCGATAATTATCATTTAAATATCGATTGTTCATGTAATCATCCTTTATAGAAGTAAAGAAGGAAATAGAAAATATTAATTTATATCCAAGTCTAACTCCAAAGTATGATTTTTTGCCAAATAGGATTCCGAAGCATGAGAGTTTGCCACATTGGCTCAGCGCATTCTGAAATTATATATAGAGGGGATTACATAAGTATAAAAATATATATCTTAAACAAAATAAAAATAATATGGTGATATGTATATGCATAAGTGTCTATATGTTTATTTAATATTAACCAAAATAGATTAACTTTTTTACTTAATTAGATGCCTAATACATCAAGTGTCGTATCAATCGTGCGTCACAATTTTTTAAAAATTTATATATACAATATGGATGTCAAATCGAAGCTCATCAAAAGATGATTAATTTGATATATTATATATGTAAAATCGATAAGAAATACAAAAGTTATCAACTTTTAAAATATATCTGCAATTCAATGGTTATAATAGGAAATGATATTAAAATACAATTAATACAAACATTAATTTATATCCAAACCTAACTGCAAAGCATGACTTTTTGTCAAATAGGATTCCGAAACATGAGAGTTTGTCACGTAGGCTCAACGCATTCTGAAATTATATATAGAGGGGATAAGATAAAACTGTTTGATATCATGCTGTTTATTTAGTTATTTTATTTTATTATAATTAATAATAACTTAATATTTGACACACATGTATATCTATGCTTTAACATTTAATATTTTTAATTTAAAATATTCAATAAATTAGTTAATTTATTCAAAAAAAATTAATTATTAAATTTATGTTACGAATATTTTGTGTGTTCTTGTAAATCATTCAACATTTATTTGTAGCATGAAATTTGTGTAAGAAGGGTTTTAGTAAAATAATCTTTAATTTGGTAATATAATCTATTGGACGAGGGATAATCTATACTCATATAAAAAGTCATCCCATTTACTAGAATTAGTAGGAAGAAAAGTCAACTCATAATTAATTGCACACCATATTTAAAAAGTTTTAGATATTTTAAATCATAAAATAGCGTAGCATTAAATGCCCCTAAAATTATGGGTTTTGTTGAACTCATTTTTGAAAATTTCTTCTCATTTAATTTTTAATAAAATCTGCATCCAAATTTACGTGTGGTTTTGAAGTGAAAATTTGAAATTCAAAATCTCTTCTCATTTTAGTTACAAGAAAATCGGGCTACATTCAACACTTGGTCCAATTTAAATATTATTCCTTAAATGAAAAAATTTATAGATAATTGTTATATCTACTTAATCACATGATTATTTTCAATATAAAAAAAGACAGATTACAAATTAGTGAATCATATATTACATAATTCAATATCTTGACATTAAGGAATAAATCCATAGTATTATGTAAATCCGTATCTCATATTATAATATCATTAAGAATACATTATAGTTATATGAGAATGACTCTTAATGCGAGAAATGAGAATAAGTCTAGATCATTGGATCCAACATATCTATGGTCTTGATTAAGTCAAATATTAATAATACCAGTCAAATATAGAGTGGCAATGTGGTAAATGAGTGAACATCTTGGGATAAATATATTAAATTAACCATTAACTAAGGACAAAACAGATATTTTCACCCTCCACTCATCCACCCACGTGGGCCCCACCCATCCCACCAACCACACCAATCATCCCCTCTCTCACACACAAACACACACTTCCTCTCACATACACACGCAGACTAACTCGTCCTCACTCAAATTAAGCTTGGCTGTGAGCTACTTCCTACCGCCGCGAGCTCATTTCTTCCGCCGCCGGCCACCATCAGCCCCCCAGACGATAACGTCGCCATCTTCCTCCATCTCATACGACCTCACACACACAAATTAAGCTCCGCCGTGAGCTAATTCCTTCCGCCGCGAGCTCATTCCTTCCGCCGCCGGCCACCATCAGTCCCACAGCCGATATCGTCGTGGTCTTCCTCCATATAATACGACCTCCGCCATCATCCCTTCGGCCGCACAGGAGGTCCGCCATCATCGTTGATTGGAGAATCTTCCCCGACGACCCTTCATTTTGACAGACGTCATCTTCCACGACGACAATCTTCTCTGGCGGTGTCGAATCGGACGGCTGGAATTACTGTTGGCAGCGGAAGCAGATCCAATTTCAATTTTTTTGGACCTTCAATTCAAAAATTCGATAGCTCATAATGCCTTAGTTGCAATTATAAAATTTTTGGGATATTGCAATTGGGTACACAAGTCAAATGTGCAAATTATAAAAAAATATATCAAAATGCACAATTAAAAAACAATTAAAAAAAACAAATAATACAAAAAACTATAAAACGCTACGGATTGCACAATATTGTTCATCAGTCAGTCTGGTCGAACTGATTGATTGAAATATTAAAGTTTGGTGCATCTTATTCGATTTTGTGCAATACGGTAGACATTTAGGTGCAATCCGTATAACCCTAACGTGCACTCATAATACAAAAAAATTGTAGAAAAAAAATATGGTTTTATCACCCAAAAAAATAAATAAATAATTAAATAATAAAAAATTTAATAATAGTTCGGCATATTCAGTTATTTTTTTTATTTAAAAAAAAATATTTTTCGACCGATTAGCAGAATTATTGTACTTTTTGTACGTGTAGCATGTTGTTTTATAAGGTGTAATATGTTGTGTTATAAGGTGCAACGTATCGCTGTATACAGTGCAACGTAATGACATATAAAGTGCAATATTAAAAATTGTTACGTGTTAGCATGCTTATGTATTTTGTGGATGGATGATGTGATGTATGTTAAAGTATTATGTATATCCGTTTTTTAGATTTATATTGCGTATTATTTTGGCGGGATCTGTTGACATTGATTGTGGAGTGAGGTGATAAAATATAACGTGTTATTTTTATAAAGTGCAACATGTTATTGTATAAAGTGCAATGTGTTATTTTATAAAGTGTAATGTGATATTTTATAAAGTGCAGCGTGTTAATTTATAAAGTGCAATATTCTGCTATATAAAGTGCACCGATTTATATATCCCGAAATAAATTATGTGTATCCAAAACTATTTTTAATAGATATACTTTTACATTTAATTGACCTAAATAAATAAATTATTTTTATTTATTATTTGTATTATATTTTTTATTTATTATCATAAACTAATTTTATATTATTTTAATATTTTATAATATTTTTTATTTAATAATTTATTTATCATTTAATATATATGCATAACAAAATATATAAAAAACAATTTTTTATTAATTTCAATAATTACAAATTCGACCCATGGTTAAATTGAAATATAATTAAAAATATAAAAATTGCAAATAGGTCCCCACACATAACCTAATTCTAAAAAAAAAGCCCAATTTCAATTCCAGTTTTCATGTTGCACGAATCACATTTTCCCACACCGGAGATGGACAGGTTCGACCTGCAGGAGACGGCGGACGTCCGGTGATGGCGTCGTTCGAAGATCTCCACCCAT